GCCCCTCAGTGTCCCTCCTGAACTGATCTTCTTCTGGCATTGGAATGTGCTGCCCAGGGAGGTGATGGATTCGCCATCCCTGGAGGTTTTCAAGCTGAGACTGGATGTGGCACTTAGTGCCATGGTCTAGTGACCACGGTAGGGTTGGACTCGATGATCTTTGAGGTCTCTTCCAGCCAGGCTGATTCTATGATTCTACACTTCGATGATTCTTGCCCTCTGCATGCCCTGTCCTGCGCGTGCCGCAGCGCCCCGAGCGAAGAGAAGGGGTTTGTGTCTGCTGCAATACACTGTTACAAACCTGCGGGCTTAGGGGGAGAAAACATTCGTGCGGATTAATTTCTCGAGGAACGAGAAGACGAAGGTCGATAAGCAGCACCGACCCGCGGAGCCACCGGGTGGTGCTGTGGGAACGCGGGAGCCTCGAGCATCTTTCCTGGGAATCCCACGGGGAAACTTCCACAGGCTCCGTGTTTGTGCTGACACGAATTGGTGTGTCAGTCGCATCCCGTGGCACTCTGGAAACGTCTCGAGAGGCATTTGGGGCACAAACAGTATTCAGAAAATAGGGAATCATAGAATCGTAGAATCAACGAATCAACGAGGTTGGAAGAGACCTCCAAGATCGATGTGGAGAAATAGGTTAATAAGTATTCATATTGGAAGTTTAAATCCTTAGTAGAATGGCTTCATCACAGCAGTAAGAAATAAGTCTTGCTGTCTTTCTTGTAGAGGATTTCACCCCAGTTCAATACAAGACTCCACCACCTCCTGAACCAGAAAAAAGTTTTCCTCCTTATACTGGATTTGGTTCCGAAGAGGATTCTCTGTGCTCCTGTATGGGTCTGCTTCCCAAGCCTCCCCAGAAAGATTTTAATAAATTCATGGAAAAAGACAGGTATTTTGGTGATAAATGATTCAAGTTTTTAAACTGTCTATTTCTGTGAAAAAGATAAATGTTATGTAGGGATGTCATTTTTTTCAGCAAAATAGACAGCTCATCAGCCTTTTAAGGGGCAGGTGCACAAGGGCTGGGTTAGTGACATGGTACTCCAATTTTCTGCAACTCAGCAAAACTTCTCTTTGGAGAAGGCAAATGTTCTGAGCCTCCTATCCCTTACCTCCTTCCCCCTGCTGTCTTCAAAGGGAGTTTGCTGGAAGTCTTAGTCCAGGAATTAGTCAAGAATTTTGTATGATCCAGCAGTCCAACACAGTTTTGGTTTTCTGTTTGGTTTTCTGATACTTAGTGGTTTTTTGTCTGCTGAATTTCATGTAGTTTGCTATAGGACTGTTAAAGCTTTAACCCTTTCCATCATGAAATGGTTTGCCAGGCAGTAGTTTTTGAAGCCTAAACAAAATTTGAAGTCTTGTGTCTGTGAAACCTCTGTAAAAGAAGAAAGCTGTTAGCAGAAGACTTGGGAATGTATTGATAATGCATATATAGCAGCACAGTGAACAATTTAAAAGACTTAACAAGTATCCAACTAGTAAGATCATCTAGTGGACCTGAATTTGTGGAACTAATCCTAGTATGTATTGCTATTGAGAATTTGATTTGAAAATATACATACCTAAAGGTATTATTCCTTTTTAAATTTTCCAGAAAGAAACTTGGAGTTTGATTTGCAACTGAATTTGAATACAAATTCATTCCAGACCTGTGGCAGAAAAGTAATTTTTCCCTGAAAATGATTCCTTTCTATCTGGCTGACTCTAGCTGGTTCTGTTAATTTAAGCTGAAAATGTTTTTTGACCAAGTAGTAAATCTTCTGCCATTTCCCTTCTTGGTCCAGGAATAACACAATTAATGTGTGCTACAAAAGTCAGGAGAATGCATCTCTTAGGGGTGAAAACTTCTCATACTCTGCATTTGATGTCTTACCTCTTCCTTTGCTTTTTAGATATGGCATGGATAGTAACATCCTGCGCTTTGGGGCAAAGCTCATCACAGATGATCCTATCGACAAGGGTCGGAAATTCATTATTTCCTACTTCCTGAGTGATGACACCATTTCAATTTTTGAACATACACTGCGAAACGCAGGTAAGATGTAGCAATGTCTTCAGTCAGTCCCTGTTGCCCTGCTCATTTGGTTAGCAAACATCACGACCAGACTCAGCACTCGCAGGAGGAGGGATGTGGTTTCTTAAATGCAATGGGAATTACATCAGCAGGTCTACTGCATTATCTTGCATAGCTGTATGTCATAGTCATTTGTAATCTTCCTCGCTCAGAATTATGCTGTTCATTGCATGACAGTGCTTTGCAGTGTCTTTTGGGAACTCCAAGTTTAATGCATGAGAACTTTTATTACATTTTAATTTGAAAATCTGGCCTTTAAACTTTTCCTTTTGTTGTGGATAGTATGCAGGAATTGTATTGTAACTGATGATAAATAGGGACAGGAAATATAAGACATGAAGAATGAAAGACTAAATCCTTTGTTTTGCAAAATCATGTTATGAAATCTATCCAGCAACCCTTGCATAGAAGCAGTTCATGAAAGCAAAACAGCTGTGATACTTTTTAACATACTTTATCATTAATCATGGAGTGTTGAGCATATAAAGAGTGAAGATTGCTGTGTCCTAGAGCCTGTATGTGTGTGTGTAATACTGAACTGAATCCCAAGACCCAGACTGCCAATGTCTGAGTGAGAAATGCTTTGTTACTTCTTAGTGGCTTGATCACATTTATCCTGTTGCTGGAGCATGGTCACCAAATGTTGCCATGGTTAAATTCTTTTGACCACTGTTGTCTGTTGTAGGCTGCCTCCAGCTGAGGATATGAAAGGCTTTCTGATTTTCAAGCATCTTTTTATTTTCTTGAAGTGTCTTGTGCGTGGATGGAAGGACACAGGACTGGGAAGGATGTCAGGAAGTCATTCTTAGCTCAGAGAGAGATAGGGAAGCTTTGGCTAGGCATGACCCTGTTGGAGAGATCACTGTATTTCTGTGAAGCTCACAGAACATCTGCAGCACCAGTTTCAGAGCAGTTAACATCCAAAAGTGCTCTGGTACCTCTCAACATGTGGCATCGAAGGACTAACTGTTAAAAGCTGCTGTCATCCTCTGATAAAACCATTGAGAGAAATAAAGCAGGAAATCACATTCTCCCAAAGGCAAAGGAAAAAGAGTAATAGATTTCCTTAGTTGCCATGTTAGGCTCTTGTGGAACCTCATGACTAGCTCTTTTGATACTGTGTGAATTGATCCATATCAGCTTCTTGGCACAGAGCACCTGTCTGGTGCTTCAGGTGCCCCCTGCAGTGGTGTCCAGCTCACTGTACTCAGTACTGACCTGTACTGTGTGGTAAATATCTAAAGCCTTCTGTATCTCTAGAGAACATGTTCTGTGGCAGTGGTTATACTAAGTAATTTTAAGTGCCCTGCGCATGAGTAGGATTTTTGGGAAGCTCTGAGCTTTTTCATTCCAAAGAACCTGTGATGGCATCTCTGCTCAGATGGACACGAGAAGAACAATGCCACACCAGACTTGGCTTGCTCCATCCTTATCAGCCATCTAAGACTATCTCAGGAGGATCTGCACACCCAGAATTTCAGGTCCTTCTGCCACATCCAGGGGTGCAATACCTACCCTTAGTTTTGTGCCGTAACCCCCCACTGCCTTGGGCTGCAGCACAGCCCACACACACCTCCAGGCAGTTGGAACACATAACAATAATAGCTGTACCCAGAGTTATCCCACAGCACCCAGAGCAGAGTCAGAGCCAAACACTGTACAGTGTAGATGTGGTCAGTTGGTCAGGCTACCAACAGCATGAGTGCCATGAACGGGTACAAACCAGCAAGTAATGTTTCAGATCTCAATCCTAAGATGGAAGTAGGAAGTTGCTCTTAGTTTTCTCACTTCAGCAACCTGGAGGTTGCAGAATACTTCACATTATTAGTAACACTGTGAAACTCTGAAATTCACAGGACTGGCCATCTTGAGGCACTTCTTGATGGGGGGTCAAAGCATGAGAACTTTGGCTCCCCATGCAGAAGATCACAACCCTTTTTTTGCTCAGTGTAAGACCCAGCCAACAGCTGTACAAACACCTACAAACTCTGATCTGATCTTAATGGAAGAAGGTCTTTCGTTGTGGTGTTTGTTTTGTGCTTTGAGCCTGGCTCTTATAGATTTCCATCAAAACTCCTTATCAGGTTTCAGTGTAAAATCTCTAACTTAATGAGATATTTTCAGTTATTTTTCTTTATACCAGCAATAATGTACTAACCTGTAACAATTATGAGATAGAAGTATTAAGGTAAGTTTCCAATGTAAGTGCACAATTGCAGGGAAATGTAGAGGCAAGAGTGAAGTTCCAACCTTATAGAGACATATTAAATAACAGTTGCCAGGATTATATAACTTAAGATTTCATATTTGTTTTAATAGCTAGGTGAAAAGGAATGTGTTAATATTAGAGTCACATTAGTGATTTGAATTGTTTTTTGATTCAAGCTAGATCTGGCCATTACCATAGTGGGTTTTTTTGTCTTTTGCTTTTATGGTGCAAATAAAGCAACTAAGACAGACATCTGCACTGATGGTAAGTAGTCTGAGTTTCACATTAATTTACAATTTTGACTATAAAAGGCTATTTCACTGTTCATCAGCCTTTTATTGGACTTGCATCATTACCTGATATTAAGGCTTCATTAAACATTACTAAATTATGCTTTTGGCTTTTGGCTGTTGGCTTGGAAGCTCAGATATCACCAGGAAGAAAACCCCAGAGCTGTTGTAGGGCACATATCCTGATGAAACTAAACACAGAAGGTAGCAGAAGGTTTTCTGGAAAGCTTGGTACTTGCAATGCAATCTTGTGGTGCACCAGAAGATCCTAGTGGAAAGCAAAATGTCTCTTTTAGTATCTTACCTACCCTTGAGTACCACATGCAGCTTGTAGTGACACAAATGAAATCAGTGTGATGTGAAAAGAAATCATGTGACATACCAATCTCACAAAGGAAATAGCAGATCACAGTTCAATTGCATTGGCAGAACTGTATGTGGAAGGTCATGTCACCCCTACCTTTGTAAAACATTCAAAGGCCCTTAAAAAGAAGTTAGAACTACAGTGCCCAGAATTCATGGTCTTTGTAGGACAGTGCTATCTTGAGTTGTGATTTTATTTTTCCTTTTTATACTTTTAACAGTTTAAGGATAATTGTTACATCTTACATTTCTCAAGGGTCAGTTCCAAGCCTGGCAACAGGGTTATGGGAACGACTTGAAGAGGCACATTTCTGTCCCATTTTAAAGAAAAGAAAAACAGGGAAGGTGTTTGGCAGGCATTCAAATGAAACATGTCACAGGGTATGCACAATGTGACTGTTGCTGTGGACACTGGCAGTGACAGTCCTCTTAGCAATGGGGGGGTTAGACAGTATTATCAGACAAGAAACTGAAGCACGAAAACTGGTATTTAAACAAAAATCATCTGCTTTGAGGTGTCTTTTGGTCAGTGGTTTGGGGCTTATTTTGTGGGTTTTTTTGTTGCTTTTCTTTTCCCAAGTAAAGTCACAATTAATTGTTTTTAATTCTATTCCCATAGGGATACGTGGTGGGAAGTTCTTGGAAAGAGGTCGCATTAAGAAGCCTGGGCAGGAACTATTTAAGAGTGAGCCATCTGAATATTACGAGGCTCAGAATCTGTTTGTGGGAGCCAGAGTTTGTTTCCATGGTCACAACTTTCTTCTGGTGGATGCTGATGAGTATGCGCTCAACTACATGGAGAAGCATGCAAATGAGGTGAAGAAGGCTCTTGGTAGTTTCTGTCATCTCTAAGGACTCTGGTTTATCTGTACACTCTTCAGAATTATTTACACAGTTTCTTCACCCAAAGTTCACAGCCCACTGCACTCTGTTTGGCAATGGATTTAGGAGATGGCAGCTGGGGAGTGCATGCAAGTGTGGCCACTCTATGCAGTCCATTCCCCTCTTCTTTCTCAGCATTCACTCGTACTGTGTTAGGGGTTGTTAGAAGGTATATCCCTGCCTATTCCTTCTTGGGACCATTTATGGATCTCTTGTCCCTGAGTTGGTCTAACCCTTGTTGAACCTGCAGATACTGTCAGCTTCCACAACTTTCTGTGGCAGCAAGTTGAAAGGTTCACTGCCTGCTATGAAAAACAAATACCTGATAAAAGAAGTGTCTTTTATCTGTTTTAAACCTGCCTCCCTTTAGTTTCAATGCCAGTTCTAGTGTTCTGGGGTGTGGTGAAGATCCCCATTCACCTTATGCACCTCCTTAATAATTTTGTAAATCTATGACATTCTGCCCCCTCGGCCTAATCCTTCAGGTCTTTATAATTTATGTCTTGCTCTCCTCTCTGAAGTTCCCTATGGCTGATACTGGTGTCATCCTCAAGAAACTGAAGGACTTGACTGAACCTCGTTCCGAAGAGATTAGAAAGACATTTGCTGCTTCTGACCCTGAGCATACCAATGTGATTGAGTATGACACTTTCAGGTAAGACAGTGGATTTGGGGTTTTATTATTTAATATAGCTGGCACATTCCCCCAGACTGTGTAGAGCATGACTGTGTTTTGGTGCTTTCTGCATGTATTTGCTGACAAATGGCATAGGTTTGTTTTGTGCTTACTTGGAGATTGTATGTGAAAAAGAAAGTGAATCCATGCTCCAGAAAAAAAGAGAAACATGATAGTTTCAAGTAAGCTGAAAAGAAAACTGAAATCTCTCTACTTTTTATGGAACTGGTGCAGAGTGCTGTGAAGAAAGACACAAGTCCGCAGTAATAAATACACTGAAAGATGAAGAAAAGTCCATCCTTAGAGTAAAACAAATTAATTAGTAGTTTTGAAATTCATATAGAAATGTTTGAGTTGCCTCCTGAAAATGGTGTTATTTGGGTTTTGGATCATTGATAAAGAAGAGAGTCTTCACAGAACCAAGGTGTATTGAAACTATAGAAGGCAGTGGTAAGCATGTTTAAAATAGACTAGAAAGCAGTAGTGAGAGTAATAATTAATACTTGGATAGTAATTTCAGCATAGCTAGGGGGACCAGCTCTCTGGATTCTGGCAATGATCCAGGTAGGGCAATGGCCAGATGTAGAGATGCTTGAAACAGGAAATCATGCTCAAATACAAGCTGATTTCAGTTTATCCCACAGCCAGAGCACTTGAACTTATGAACTGTGTTGGGTACTGGTAAAGGTAATGAGGTGGAACACAGGAGGAGAATTTGCTTGGAAGCATTTGGTTTTCACAGAAGTAATACACTGTGTATTTAGGAACTGTCATAATAACTAAAGCATGTAAGTAGATGTATATTGTGTGGAATGTCATCCCCATAGGAGTGTTAACCTAGGCAGAAATTGCTTCTGAAATATTTTAGGAGAGAAATAGATTAGCAGAAGGTTCTTCCAGCAATGCAAAGTGAAAATAGTGAGAAACTAAAACAAGCTGGTATTCAGAAATGAAAAAATAAGTGATTAAAATGTAGGATTTAAACTAAGAGAGATCACAGTTATTGGCAAAAGGTGGTCAAAATATTTCTGAACTCACATATTTCACTCAACAGCAGGAAGATTCTGGATTGTTCATTGCATTAAGAGGGAAATGTTATTAGTAGAGTGAGAATGGGAGAAAATTAAAAGTCAATGTTTATCTGGAGAAACTTCTTAGCACTTGGAGAAGGGTTTTAATTTATGTACACAGTAACTAGTTAAAACCAAATAATTATTGTTTTAATTTAATTTATGAAACAACAATCTTTTTGTACATGCACTAATAGCAGGTGAAAGGTTTGGAACACTTGCATGACAAAATTAGGGAAGCATACTTTCAGAAGGCTTGACTGTGCTTTTAAATAGCAAGGTTTTGTTTTATCAAGTTGTTCAGTTGGGTTTAAAGTGAATCATGGACATTTTCATGAACAGCTCAGATGTTTAATTTAGGGTAGTGCTACTATGTGGCATGGAGAGAGATGTGTCTGTGTGGTATTGAGGGACTTGGTTTCAGCAATGAAAAAAGCAGTAGCCCATTTCTCCATGAGCAAGAAAGATGGGGAACCCATGTAATAAAGGTTTTCTTGGCCTCAGTGCTCACCTGGGCCAGTCTGAACACCCACTAATGGTCTACATCTCCCCTGCAGGAAACATTCACACTGCCAGGGCAAGAATTTGCCTCTAAGGAACATTTAACTTTTGTGCTTTATAGTGATAGTAGGTTTTGTTTCTGTTCATTCATATTATATCCAGTAATCTAAAGGCTCTTTTCTTTTTCTTGTCCATGTATCTTATTTTAGAACGAAAGAAACATTTTTAATGGCAAAGATGAGAGCACTTCTTTGCATCTATGAAAAGTCAGATACATTTCTGTTAATAGAATATATATTTTTCTTTCATGTTGTTATTGTGTACATCACTGTTTATTTTTAATCTGCCATGGCTTTTGATGATTATAGCTAACTACAAATGATTATTTTTAGTACAAGCAATTATCTGTGTGACAGCTTCAATGATAATCCTCTTTTCTTATCTTAAATACAGCTAAGCTTTACTGTGCTCTGAATTTGGCTGTTCAGATTTATTCCTTTCTACCTATGTCATTTTATATGAGCTGCATTTAAAAATACACCTCTAAGTATGATGTAGTGAAGTGTAAGCAATTACACAATTCACTGTAACTACTTTCAGAACCCAAATCTACAGCACTTCATGGAGGAAATAAATACATGGCATATACTGAACCTCTTCCTTAAGCTATCATTAAAACTATTGAAAGCTTTGTTAAAAAGAGAAGAAAAATAACTAAAACTTAGATGCCTGTGCATCACACAGTCCATTCCAGGCTGCTTTATCTCATAAGCTACTGGCAAGTCTGTTTGCTGTTAGAGACAAAGAGCCATGTGGGTCTAACAGAGATGCCTGTCTTCAAATCAGTTTGAGAAGCAGCTCCTCTTAGGCAGTTAATTATTATTTCGTCTTTCTCTATTAAATTCAGATTGCAATCTGTCATATTCTTCTGGAACAAAAAATAAAACAAAAGAAAAAAGTAAAACAAAAGATAGCTAAGCTGTGGGAACAATCATTGCAGCTTGTTTCTTTTTGTCAGGAAGAGTTTAGATGTCATTCTTGTTGCGAATCTCGGGTCTCACTCATTAGTCCACAGTAATCACTAAAATATTCCTTAATCCCCAAACGAGGCAATAATTTTATCTTTGGGTTTGGGTGATTTGATTGTCACTGAGTGGATTGAGAAAATAAAAGACTTTTAAAATCCTGACACTGGAAAAAAATCTGTGCCATGTATGGAAATCCAGTCTGTGGAAATATTCTGCTGGTTGATGTTATCTACATGTGTTCAGCTCTGCCAGCTCTGCGTTTGGGCTGCAGAGCTTATCAGGCAGCATTGTCCTCCTCTTTGTGTTTGCAGTGGTATTACTGCAGGCTGCAGGAAAGAGGCTCCAGTTTGGGCTGGATCTCTGAATGCTGCTACAGTGTAAATAATAATATTCAATAAGTGGAATAATAATAGTGACAAGATAATGATAATATTAGTAGATGAACCAAATTTTGGTCATTAAGTGTGCATGATCTCCAACAGGGTTTGCTACTATCAACAACATGTCTTTTCCCTGTATTTATTTCCTGCCACTGCAAATAGAGGATTGTTCTGATTTATTTAATAAGAAAAAGAGACAGATATTGAAGTGCTTCGGTCATGCTTAGTATGTTTTTTTGTATGTATAACCAGCTCCTGAGGAAATGTGGACATCCTTCCTTCCCCAAATTTAGTGATTCTTAACTGCTTTTAATTTATTTAGATAAAACTAACGTAAGGTGTTGGTTTTTGTGAACAGAAATTTGATAGTCAGTATGACTGATGGAGCATTATTTATTTAATAAGATTTATTTAATAAGAAAAAGAGAGAGATATTGAAGTGCTTCGGTCATGCTTAGTATGTTTTTTTGTATGTGTAGCCAGCTCCTGAGGAAATGTGGACATCCTTCCTCCCCCAAATTTAGTGATTCTTAACTGCTTTTAATTCATTTAGATAAAACTAACGTAAGGTGTTGGTTTTTGTGAACAGAAATTTGATAGTCAGTATGACTGATGGAGCATTATCAGAACACGAAATTATGACTCTTGGACGCTACTACGGTATGAGAGAAGAAAAACAAATAGACCTCCAGGTCCTCCTTGCAGTGGCTCAAGAAAAACTAAAGAAAAGTAGCTTTGAAAATTTTGGGCAACTGACTGCAGTGCTTATTTACAACGACAGTGAAAAGTAAGTTTCATCTGTTTATCCTAAGCTGTTATTTTGGAAGCTCTGTTTGTAAACCTACCTACTTTCTGGTTGTTGCTGAGCAAATGATATATTGTGGCCAAAGGATATTATTTGTAATGTTAAGCCTCTCTGAGCACTTGACAGTAGACAGGCAAAGGGCAGCCTTTTTGTCTCTTTTTCATTTTGTTTGTGAACTTTTTATTATAGCTGCTCTACTGAACATTCAGTGACATCAGATATTTGTTCACAGGCAAAACACAGTATTTTAAATCAAAGAGGGAAAATAGTGATTTAAGGGGAAAAGGAAAGGATTTGGATTCTTTATGTGACTCATTTCCCCTGTTTTGTTCCCTGATGTCACAGATGAAGACTCACAGAGAACCACTGAGGACCTTAGTATGGGAGAGAAAGGCCACAATGTGGTCTTCAAGTTTCTCAGCTTTCTTAGATGAAGTTTCATAAACCCTTGTTTTCTTTACCTCTGTCCCAATATTCCATACTTGTTTTCCTATTCACACCACCATTCACTTGAAGTAAATCTGGAAAATACCCAATGTGCACTCTTACCCCTCTCTTTCTGATGTGCAGGTGTGGATTGCTGCCCCATGGGACATGCAGGACTGTTTGCAAGTCCTTTAAGTTGCCACTGTCTGATGATGATCTACAAACTTTACTGACCAGGTAAGTTAAGGGCAGATAGTGTGACCTGCATGCCCAGGTGCAAATCAATGCTAAATACCTACTGCAGACCCAAATCTGAAGAGTTTGTCATTTATATAATATCAATCACTTCATGATGCACATGTCCTACATCTGGGCCGTGGCAATCCCAGGCACAAATACAGGTTGGGTAGGGAAGTAATTGAAACCAGCAGTGAGGAGAAAGACTTGGGAGTGACAGTGGATGAGAAGCTCAGCATGAGCTGCAGTGTGAGCTCAGCACAGAAAGCCAATCGAAGCATTAGTCATAACTAAATTTTTAGAACACCCAAGCTGCCCAACACAATTGTTGGAGGAAAATTGACATCTTGTATTAGACAAGGGGTTCCTACAGTTTCCACTTCAAAAGGACTAAAATTGAATAGATGCACAGACAAGGGACTTCAAGTTTTATGTACTTTATGTACTAACTCAGTTTTGATGAAAAACGGACAAGCCTGAGACATCGTGGGCTCCAGGGACGTGTTTATTGTTTGTGAATTTATACCAGAGAAAGCTTTTGTGCAATGAACCTCTTCTCTCCTGAAATGTCTGAGTGTAGGCAGTTAAAAAGAAAAAGCCCAGTATACTATAATAAAAATTAGAGATAAGCTTAGAAGACAAGGAGGATACTAAGGGCAGGTACCCATGACAGCTGGATGAGGTTTCAGCTGCTGTAGGTTCTTTCTGTGGGTGATGGAGAAGGAGAGAGTTATCTCCTCAGCCTGTATAAATTCTGGATTTCTAAATTACCATCCATTTTCCTTAGTTTCTCAAGGGGCTGTGGCCAGACTGTGGTACAGATTCCTATATGAGAAAGGTAAACGGTGTGAAACTGGACCTTGGAAATCAGTGTGAGCAGTGATGCATAAGATGCCTTGGGTCATGCCAGTTCTGAGTTGCAGCATCAGCTGCTTCAAAAATGGCAGTTTGCATGGCAAGTCACAGCTCTAGAGGTAATAAGGAAGATTATTACAGTCTTAATAATGAGTGGATTTGGCACTGCTTGGGAAGTTTATTGTTTTATGAGGGTGCAGAGTCCAGGAATTATTTTTTTGAGGTCTATTTAGTAGGAGTTAACTTCCAGTGGTCTGGAAATCAAAGAGTTGTATTGGCTCGATGAGATTTAGGCTTTTCCTTTCCTTTCCTCCCACTTCCTGTAGTTTTCTTCAACACTGAAAAATCATGAAAACAGGCAGGTTTGTTGTTAATGAAGAACAGTCTCACTCCTGGAGAGTATGCAATTCAGTGTGGGCAAAATTTGTCAACAGCATTCTTTCCCTGTTTCTTTCTTTTTTTTTTTTGTGAGGAAGAATGTAATTTTGTGTCCACTGATGTTTCTGAAGCAAGTGGTGATGGTGGTCCTACTGTGTGTGTCTGTATTTATGAAGGAAGAAAGTGGTACAATAAAAGTAGTTGGACTGATTCCCACAGAATCAGTATATATAGCTAATGCACTAGCTGGACCCTATTCAGCTATAAAATGATGCTGGACAATGTGATCAGATAATAGTTGAAGCCTAAAGCTGTGTGTTTATTCAGCTTTGCTATCTGAGATTAGATGGCAAAGACTTTCTGCAGGACTTAATGGTTCTATTTTGAAATTCCATTTTGAAAGGTAATTCTCCTCAAGTATTTATTATTTGCATTTGTATATTATGCTGCAATGATCTGTCACTCATTAAAAGCATGGGATGGGGCTGGAAGTTACTGTCTAATTTTGTGGTCACCTCCAAGTGACCCATGGATTTGTTTACTGTACCCAAAGACCATTCAGTTGCCACAGAGTGCAGGGAGAATTAGCACAAAGGCTGAGGTTTCATAGGACCCTTTCATGTTGTCTGTCTAGTATAAATGTGTTTCATTGTGAAGTGGAGAAACAGTAGGATTTAGACACCCAACAATGTCTGTTTTCCCAGTTTACCAGAGCTTGCTTATTAAAAAGTATTTCCTTTCTCCATCAGCATTTTCTTCTTAGTATTTTAACCACAGAACAATACAGACTTCTAATCACAATGCACTAAGCAATGCAGATGGTACACAATTGTTTCTGCCAGAAAACTACAGTAGTCATTATAAAATTTTCCTTAATTTTATGCAGGCATAATGAACAATTATGGTTTGTTTAATAAATAAATGTTGCCAAAGTGTTTTTTTTCTGTTATTTTTATTTACTGCAATGCTAAATGTATGCTGACAAGGACTTAAAAAGAGCCAGTACTTCCCCAGAGGATATATAAACAGCTGGCAGATAAGGAAAGAAAAAGTGGAGAGAAGAAAGAATGGATGACAAGTTTACAAGTATTGCACGCTGATTATTCTGCATTTATTTAGTTATTAATTGTAGGTGCCTGTTTTTTTCAAGTATGTCTTTTAATTTCTGTTGGAAGCAGCTGTGTAGCTCTTCACCTCTCCACACTGCCAGGGTGAGTCTGTTGGACTCTGAAGGAGACGTGTTGTTTTGGGAAGGTGAATCCCTAGTGCCTGAGGCAGCAGTGCCTGGGAACAGTTGGACTCCTGCATGGTCATCCCAGTTCTCACATCACTCACAGGCCAGGCCAGGCCACTCCTGCCTGCTCAGTTTTTCCCTGGATTGTGACTAGTTAATAATTTTTTACCTAGTTGCCTACCTGTAATGCTTTTTCAGCGCTGACTTTTTCCTTTCAGGATGCAAACCCTCTTTTCCCACTCCAGTGAGTGTCCTGGTAGCAGGATCACCGCTGGAAATTGCCACAAGACCTTTGTCCTGCATTGTCTTCTGCTTGTTACCTGTGATTGCTGAGACTCTCTGTGCCATTTGTGATGAAAAGACTCTCTAGCATTCATATTTGGATCTCTTAACACAAATTATTTCTGTTATTCAGTATGTAGAGGAACTGCTGGTTCAACTCATGGTTGGTTGAGATGAATCAGTGTATACACGAGATGGTAGCCTGTCATTAATTCAAACTGGTATCCTGTACAGATTTGTCTGTGCTTGCTGGTTTAGATCATTTCATATGAGCACTTTGTGACAATTTAGGTGTACACCTGTGACAATTTACCCTCTGTATACCTGTGTTGCACAGAGATTATCACACAGGCTGAAGAATCCCAACATTTAATGCTTCTATTCTATTATTATCAGGTCAACATCTTAATAAGTGTTATTTAAAACTAAGGAATTAAAAAAGCCTTCACATGTATATTAAATTTTCACAGAAGTGTTTGGGTTATAGATTTCTTGATGGGAAAAAAAAATTACTAAGCAACCTGCATTCACCAAAGCATCCTCAGGAGTGGTCATAATATGATTTAAACAGATTTTTCACATATCTGGAGTATTTAATTATTAATATATTTTTAGAAGCAGAAATGTGCTTTGTAGTTCTGCAATGTCAAAGAAAAATAAAAAGCTCTGCAAGCTATGACAGGGATGAGGGAGTGACTTTCATAGTCTAAAATCACATGCATGGGTGAGGTCATGGGGCAGAACTGAGGAGAAACATGGTTTCAAGCTATCTTCGTGGCATCTTCTTGATAAGGCAAATCTAATTTCCTTTCCCAAAGAGCATTGTCAGTCTCAGTCTTATTAACTGCAGCCACTGAAATGTATGACATCTCTGTCCCAATAATGCACAAATTGATAACATCTCCTCAGTCCATCCGGATACTCCGTGCCAAATCACTAGTGTGTGCTTTTAGGGGATTGATACAATAACTCCCAGCAGTAAAGAGATCTAAAGAGTAGATTTTTCTTTTCTTTCTGGATTATTCTAGAGTAATATTTTAAGCTGCTTTCTGTAGCTATTTAAATATGGGATTTAAGAATCCCATTTCCGCTGCCCGTGTTAAAATCTGTAGTTATAGTTAATTTCATGCCCATGTTGTCATCTCAGTTTGCTTGTGCTGTCACATGGAAGGACTTCTTCTTGCTGATGTTTGTCAAAAGCAGATGCAATGCTTTCCTTGGTTTCATTGCCTTGACAGAAAGTTTAAGTAGTTACACACCTTCACTTGCTCTATGTTTAAAAATCCTGTTTATTCAGCTTAGCATCTTGGCAATAGTATTAATCTTTTGACTTTTCACGGTCAGCAAAGGATAAATACACAATAGTAACAGGAGACAATAATTTGTCATGATAAGTGTGAAATTCCAATCTGTGTACCATTGTTTTCTTTTTCCAACTTAGAAACTTTTCTATTGGCTTGTTATTTCTAATGCAAAACTTTTCTTATTGCCACCTAAAAAAAAAACCAACAGAAGTGGGAATAATTTTCTTGTATATTGACTGTATTGGCTACATAAAGACTTCAGGAAAATGTTAACTTGCATGTGAACTATGATAAAGAACCAGGTTATCATAGGAGGGTTTCTCATGGCAATGTTTCAGGGCCCATTTAATACTAGTAACAGTAGCATTCTCTTCTGACTTTGCTTTCATCTTCAGCATAACTCACTGTACTTAACATTCCAGTTTATCACTAGCATCTCTGTTTATGGCTCTCAGTATATTTTATTATTATGTCTTCTGCTGACTGTTAAATGAAAGGTGTGGGGGGGGGAGAAGGAAAGGATGAGTTGCAGTTTATTACAGTTTATTTTTGTCCACAGATCTATTTCTCCTCCGCTGTGGTTTTCCAAGTTTGTGCTGTAAATTCTCCCCTAAAGCACCTTCATGCTTAGTATTTATCAGAAGCCTCTGCAGTGATTGAAGGGTTTTAAGGCCTATGTTTTGTTCACTGCTATTTCTTTAAGAATGAGGGAAAATAATGTTCTGAAAGACTTGTTTCCTGGAGATGATCTTGTGCCTGTGGAATAGTGATTGTCTCCCCAGATGACAGGGCAGAATGGCTTGACCTGATGTTTCCCACCAAATAATAGGTATTGAGTCTTGCTAGTTGTCTGTCTCTCTGTGGACCCCAGTGAAGCACAGACACTGCTAGGCTGTGCCTAAATCTGGTCCCTTTTACAGGTAGGTGGTGTTAGGTGAGACACATGTCATTCATAGGAGCTTCCAGAGCAGTATTTATAGCAGAGCAGTTGAGCTGCTCATTTCAAGAACAATTTGCATTGTAGCTTCAGCTTGCAGATATCTTTCAACATTTGACTAGTGCCAGTGAAAGAACAGTTGTTCCCAAGTGCCTGAGTCACCTCAGTGTTTTGCTGAGTTGAGGACTTCTATTTCTGAAGCTGCTTCATCCAGATCAATGGCAGAAGGATGATGTGGCTTACAAATCTGTTCCCATGGGGTTTATTAGTGCAAGGTAAACATTTTAGAAACCTGAGGGAGAGAAACAGCATTTTCCACATGTGCCTGTAGACTTTAGCTGGCAGCATATATATCTTCATGCTTTTAGAGACAGGCACAACTGACACACATATTAATTCCATAGAAATAAAGAACAGTGCCATAAAACAACTACCAAGTGACAAGGCTTATGATTTTTAATCTGGCTATTATTTCATAGGTTAGAGAGCTGTGTGTTTGTCAATTGTAAATTGATACCAAAGTGTGTGCAAACAGGAGTTGCTTATTTTCAGGAGATGATTGTAGGAGTCATAATAAAACAGGCCAGATTTTTTATAGCACAGCTCCCTTGTATCATTCTGTTTCTTTTCTACACAAAGGAATGATACACTGATCATCCCAACTGATTGTCACAAATTGTAAGGTGCCAGTGTTGGACAAAGTTGGGCAATGCTTCAAAAGTAAAATAAATCAGTTGAAATGTAATAAATCTTAAAGAAGTTGAATTCTACTCTAAGGTACAATAATAAGGTGTAAGAATATGCAGAAGAATGTGTACTATAGAAGTTCCTGACCGTTTGTACTGTTTTTTCACTCCTACCAGTGTTTGGGAATAAAGGAATAAAAAAGTTATTATCCAAAAGGTAATGTATTAGTGTGATAACATGTCATAACTTTGTTAAAAATTCCCTTTAACCTCAAGTTATCTTATGGATATTCTGCTTAGATTTGAAGATGACCATAAGCAAGTGGACTATAAAAGGTTTGTAAATGGACTGAACTGGAGAGAGAATCCTATCCGTGCTTCCCAGAAGACAGAGGATCCTCTCAAGGTAAAACCAGTGAATCTGAGCAAAGGAACAGTGCAGCACTTTGATACAATTATTCCAATTCTGAGTGTTTATCCAATGGACACTATGACATTGATATTTGCATGTTTGTGCCTGTTTTCTTCAAGTAATTATTTTTTGCTAAGAAGTTT